TGAGCCCATTGCTGCAGCCACTGTGTCAGTCTGTCCCACTAAGGGGCTTCCTCTTTTTCACTGACCCACTACTTTACCAAGCATGATGTCTTTCCTCCGAGATTGGTCTTTCCTGCTAACATGCCCAAAGTATATGAGACAAAGTCTCACCAGCCTCGCATCAAAGGAGCAGGAAGGCTATACTTCTTCCAGGACAGATCTGTTTGTTCTTCTGCCCACCCACAGTACTTTTAATATTCTTCAACCACACTTTAATTTGAATGCATTGAATTTCATACACTAGGGGAAATGAAATCAAGAAAGGAAATGATAAAACCAGATCAGAAACTGGAGCTGCCTCCCTCTGTAGATGTAGAGACTCCAGAGTCTGAAATAGGGAATCAGTCTAAAGTCTGTGGGTCCCATCCCATAAGAATGGTGGATGTCAGAAGCAGATGGAGTAACCCCAGGTCAGGCTATGTAACAAATACCCACAAGAATGAGTAGCACCAGCTATTTTGATCAGAACCAGACATCCCTTCAGCTGAGTTCTTCTTTTCTCTGTCCCCTGTTCCAGCAAGAGCCCAAACAAGTAGACAACACAGAACAGTTAGTGTGTTGCTTGAAAGGGGAGATTAACTGATCTCCAATGTGGTGGCAAGGAACCTTGGGGGTAGAGTTAGTTCAGCTGTGGACGGCAAGGGTGGCAGTTTGGACCCATCAGCCACTCCATGGGAGAAAGAAGAGGCTTTCTACTACCATCAAGAAGTAGAGTCTCAGAAACCCACACAGGCAGTGCTACCCTGCCCCATAGGGCTAGTATGAGTCAGAATTGACCATCAAGTCGGTGGAAGAGAAGGGTTTTGTTTTGTTTTCTTGTGGAATGTGGTGGCAAAAGATTTACCCACTCTGTTTCAGAGCAATTAGAATGCCTGCATAGAGCTCTCCACGAAGGACCAAGAGGAAAATAATCATCTGTGTGGCAGCTACAAATTGCCCATTGCCATTGACTGTGGGCTTCCGAGGCTACAAATCTTTCCAGCAGCAGAAAGCCTCATCTTTCACCCATGGAGCCATTAGGAGATTCAAACTGCTGGCCTTTCAGTTAGCAGCCCAATGCTTAGCCCACTGCGCCATCAGGGCTCCTGCGGCTCCAAATAGTGTATCAGAAAGGAACATAGCATGCCAAGAATGTGGAGTCTCCCCCGAGGAAAATGAAGCTTAAGGGACAGCAGTAGATTCTTCACGATGGCTATCATAGCGTATATTCTCACAACATCATAAGGACCTTATGTTGTAAAGACCAGGTTAGAAAGCAGCACGGATGAGATGGGAAGGGGCAACGGCAAGTCTGAGAAGAAACAAATCCAGGAGTAGAGCACCAGGCTTAAGGAATGGATACAGACGTTGACATGCTAACACATCAGAACAGACACTGCTCAAACCTGGTTGGCTTACCAATAGACAAGTGTGCTTGTGTGAGCACAGGGAATGTGGAGGGCAGACGAGGAAATTAGAGACCGAGAGAAACTGAAAGTTATGAAGGCATGCAAATGTCACAAGGTGAGGAGAAGAATGGGTCTCTGAGTAGAAAAAACAACTGGAACAGAAGATATATTTTACAATATGAGAAAATTTCCCAGAAATGGAAAAGGAGAAAACAAACAAACCAAAGTGGTTCCAGGAAATTTAATAAAGAATGTTCAAAACCCAGACATATTTTAATTAAATTATCACACCTCAGAGATAAAGAAATCATTCTTCAAATCTTCAGATAAGAAACCAGAAAACAAAAAACCTCCTACAGGAGGGTGGCGGGGAGTCAAGCTGGCATCAGACCTCTCCATTCCTCTGCCAATCAGCCTCAGACACCCACAGGGCCACTGCTCCCCTGTCCCACAGGGTCTCTGCAAGTCGGCAGCGATTCAGCTCTGGTGAGTGTGAGTGGGTTTACCCAAACGTGGAGTGTGAAAGTGGCCCAAGGAGGTTATATTCCACTGGGAGATTGTTAAAATACAAAGACAGTGAGGAGACATGCACAGACCTGAGAGAACAAAGTAATTATGAGATGATCTTTTAAAAGTAAATAATTGATGCTAACGGTTCCATCAACTAAGCATAACTCAGAAATAACTCAGTTACGGCAAAAGGAAGTATGGGAACTGATCCCCCAAATCAAGCCGAGCTCACTCACTTCAAAACCAAACCAAATGGTGAGCTCATGAGGGCAGGGTAGAACTGCCCCTGGGGGCTTCTGAGAAGACTTTTTAATCTGTAGAGGAATCGATGGGGCGTTCCCTGGTGGAGTCAAGTATCTGACATCGTGGTTAGAAGCTCAACATGTAACCCACTCTGCCACGAGCACTAGCACCTTTGGGGGACCAATAAGCTGGTTTAAATGTAGAACGAATACAAAACAACTATGGGAATTAATGCTACAGAGAGAATGGGAATGCTACCCATTGGACATAATAAAAATAATTATTATACAACAACAGAAGAATGTGGAAGATGGAGGGCCAGGGACGGAAGGCAATGAGAGAGGATGTGTGTCTTCATCTTTCTCAGCAGCATTAAATCAGCATCACCTGACGCTGTAACATTAAGTTTAAAATATAGACACATAATTATGTCAAACTCGGTATTTTCTTTGTGTTAACCTTATACTCACTGCCATCAAATGATTCCAACTCATAATGACCCTACAGGACAGAGTAGAACTGTCCCCTTGGGGTTTCTGAGACTTTACATCTTTAGAGGAGTAGACAGCCTCATCTTTCTCCTTTGGAATGGCTGGTGGTTTTGAACTGCTGACCTGGTGGTTAGACACTCGGTGCATACGCCACTGGGGCTCCTTTATTACAGCATGGCAGGTTGGATCTGACTTTTAACAGTTCTTCTTTTATGTTGGATCATAATTAAAATGTACATGTTTTACTAAAAAAGAACCAGGGTGCAATCTCATTATAAAAGTCTCTGTGCCTGTATGTCTTAGTGGGTGACTCCGATGCTGTTCATCTAATACTAATAACCATTGTTTCCAGGTATGGGCACATTCTAACTTCAATCTTTGTATTACTGTATGAAAAATATTTATAATTAATAGATATGAGAATATATGGTATGATTATAAAACAAGTAATTTTTAAAAAGAAAGCACTAAATATTTTAAAGCTAATATTTGAATGGGATAAAATATTGGAAATTATGATATTGTGCTTGGTACTTTTATATATTTTTCATTAAAAATATTCATTAGTTAAGAGCTGGTAGAAGATGAGGACAAGGAGTATGAGTCCATGTGTTGACGGCATTCCCACCTCCACAACTTCTCTGTAGGGGGACGAGTCCCAATGGGATCTCCTCCTGCTCAGTGGCACAGAATTCTCTTCCAGAATCATCTCAATGAGCACTGGTAGAAGCTTCAGGCTCTAAGTGAGCCTCTTCAGCAGGATGGCTTACGGTCCACCCTTTTTCCACTCCAAAGTGTAAAGCAGCATTGGCCACCCATTGAAAACAATTGCACGTTGAGACTCAAATTCTTTTAACAGGTTTTTCTTCTTATACCATGGCAATCCCTCCTTTAAAGTGTATCATTCAGTGGTTTGGGGTGAATTCACAAACATGTGCAACCACCCCTGCTCCCAGAGTATGTTCATCACTCCAATGAGAAATCTCATACCTATTAGCAATCACACACCCCGGTCCCCCAACCCCTGGCAACTACTATTCCACCTCCCATCCCTGCATCCTGCATGTTTCCTATCAATGGGATTAAGTAATACTTGGTCTCTGTGGCTGGCTTTTTTTCCACAGAGTATAAAGTTGTCAAGGTTCATTGATGCCCCAGCTGGTAGTAAAACTTGATTTTCTTTGTGATGAAATAATATTCTGTTGTATGAGTAGACTAGATTTTTAAAAATAATTTTATTGGGGAATCATACAACTTTTATCACAATCCATACATAACATCCATTGTGTCAAGTACATTTGTGCATTTCTTGCCCTCATCATTCTCAAAACATTTGCTTTCTATTTGAGCCCTTGGTATCAGCTCCTCATTTTGACTAGATTTTTTAAATCTACTCCTCCCTTGATGGAATTTAGGTTAGTTCCTCTTTTTGCGCATTGTAAATAAAGCCACTATCAATGTTCATGTGCACCTTTGTCCCATTCTCTTGCGTCTGCACTAGGAATGGCATTGTTGGATTGAATGGGCTCCGACAATTAAACGGCTGTCTTCTTCTTGGTTTTCAGGCAGAAATGGTGCACAGCGCCTTCCAGGCCCAGCGGGCTTTCCTTCTGATGGCTTCGCAGCACCAACAGCCTCAAGAGGTAAGTAGCAAGGCTGCCCCGGGCAGGCGCAGTATAACATAGAAACAAGGAAGCAACAGAACTGTGTCTTCTGAGCCAAGCTGTCTCCACAATTGAGACTTAGGGCACATGTCGGTCCCATCTCCAATTTGCATTAGGACCTGTAGCAAGTCTTCTGTCTTTACAGTCTTCATCGGTAAGTAATTTCAAAATGCAGGCCAGTTGCTGAACTCAGGGAGCCCTAATACCCTCATACTGCTAATCCGTCCTTATGGCCAGCTTCCCACTGTAGCACTTGAGAGTGTTGGTTCAGTAGTTGTTGTTGTTAGGTGCCGTTGATCGGTAGTAACTCAGTCCAGTTTCATGTCATCCTCATGATCACTGGCATATTTGAGCCCAACACTTTGACAAATGTGCCAGCCCATCTCACTTAGAGTCTCTTTTGCCCCACTGACCCCAGAATCACCAAACATGGAGCCCTCCTAGAGTGATTCATTCTTCTTAGCGATGTGTCCAAAGTGAGAGAATTGGACTGTGTCCTGTTGGGACCCATAAGGTTTCAAAGTCTACCTAATTCTGGAAGCTTTGCTGGGAACCGTCCAGCATGGTATCTGAAATATCTGCTGGTATCGGAAATATCAGTAGCATCACAGCTACATCAAGTGGCTACATCAGTGTTTCCCAGAATTACACATCACCTTGGTGCTTAAATGCAGTTCCTCACTGAGGAGATTGGAGCCCATCCTTAGACTCTGCTTTTCCCACAAGCTCCTCCATGATGATGCTTGTGCTGATGGTCAGCATTCTCAAAATACAAATGTCAGAGACACTCTTTGTGGGTCCATGTGTACTGGGACATGAAGACAGATGAACTTTCCTTAGGTTCAAGATACTTGGAGCTATTAGAGCACTTGATATCAAGTGCAGTAATGGTGGTGGTTGTGGTAGTGGTTGTGCCATTGACTTGATTCTAACTCCTAGCGAACCTGTGTGATGAAGTCAAATTGCCCTCATTGGGGTTTCTTGGCTGCAATCTTTAAGAAGTGCCAGGTCTTTCTCCCATGGATATAGCAAATGGATTAAAACCTTCAGCCTTTCAGTTAACAGCCTAACCATTTGCACCACCAGAGAGCCATGCAATAATATTACAAAATAATCATTTTAACAACTTTTAACTTAACATTCCCTGGAGTAAAATCTGGAGTAAAACATTTTAAAGGATAATAGTTTTGGTTCAGATCAAACTTGTGGTTGATGAGCATCATAGTGTAAATTGTGTCACCCCCAAAATGTGTCAACTTGGCTGGGTCATGATTCTCAGTGGTTTGGCAGTTATGTAATGATGCAATCATCCTCCATTATGTAATCTGATGTGCTCAGCCATCAGTTATGAGGGGACTAGAGTGGGATACAACACCCTTATTCAGTTCATGGCACTCATCTGATAAAAGAGGATTTTATTGATCTGACCATGTGAGCCATAGAATTCTTGTGGGATGATATTCAGCTGCAAGTCACCAGGAAACTCTTCCTAGTCTATGTTGGTCTGGAAGCTCCAACAAAACCTATTGTGTAGCTTAGTAACTCACAAGCCTCCACTGACAGCCAGGTGCTGATTGCACATTGGCTGGAATAGAACTCTATGGATGGTGAGAATTCTACCACTGATTTTCAGCGCTTTTTAAATTATAAACCAAAAAAATAAACTCACTTCCATCCAGTTGATGCCAACTCATAGTGACCCTATAGAAGGGTAGAACTGCCCCTATGAGTTTCTGAAACTATAATTCTTTATGGGAGTGGAAAGTTCCATCTTTCTCCCATGGAGTGACTGGTAATTTCAAACTGCTGACTTTGCAGTTAGCAGCCCAATCAATTTTAGATGTGTTGTAGAGTCTAGAGTATGCGTAGGGATTCTAAAAACTGTACTGGGGAGACAAGATTTCCATAATTTGTTTAAAGAATGTTTATTATAGAAACCAGTTATTTTATTTTGAAATAAAAATACTATGCATTTCTTAAGTAGCTCTACAAGTATAGCTTGTTAAAAAAGAAAAATATTAGAAATTGTTCTTTTGACTAAATATTCTACATTTTAAGTATGTTAACAATTGCATAATTAAAAAAAGATAAATTGAATAGTCAGTAGAATATAACAGCTTAAATTTAGTAGCTCATTTTTGGAGTCCAAAACAAACAAACTCCTAAAAGTAAAAAGAAAAACTTGAGCTAAAAAGTCTGCGAAATAGGAAGTTTGATTTTCAAGGAAAGACATTCCGCTCCATAAAGGGACAAGAACTGAGAGCAAAGATCCTTCCAGAATCAGGGGCTCCCACACGTGCCTGGGAGTGAAATCACTTGAAAAAACGTTAACAATCGCCAGTGCCTGAGTCTTGCCCTGAGGGTCTGATTGAATAGGGCTGGGACATAGCCTTGCCTCCCTGTGCTTTTGACAGGCCCTGACGGTGACTCCGCAGCTTGCTGTGCGGCAGAATGCATTGGGAAGGGGTTCCTGCAGAGACACTTAAAATGTACCATTTCATCATCTGATCGCCCTTTGGGGCCATTTTAAATTTGTTCTAGTTTTTCATATCTCCTACTTTCTTTCCATTTTGAGGTTTTTCTCTGTC